CCGGGGCCGGGTTCAAATCCGCCACCCTTGGTATATGGGGTCGGTGCTCTACCCACTGAGTAACAGGCACTGCCCTACTTTATTATTCTTTTTGAGACAGAGTTTCAAGCTGTCTCTCTGGGTAGAGTGCCATAGCATCATTATAGCTCATGGCAACCTCCAACTCTTGGGCTCAAGCGATCCTCTTGCGTCAATTTTTCTATTTTTAGTACAGACAGGGTCTTGCTCTTGTTCAGACTGGCCTTGAACTCCTGAGCTCAAGCAATCCACCCACCTCGGCCTCCCAGAGTGCTAGAATTACAAGTGTGAGCCACCATGCTCAGCCTTACTTTATCATTCTTTAAAACTTATGAACATTACAAACATAATTTTAAAAAATATGTATCTTTCATAATAAAAGTTCTGAATGAAAGACGGCATAAACACATTAAAAAATAAAAACATTGGGTGGAGTCTTTGTGTGTGCCACACCTTTTGGGGGCAAGACACGATTGTAAGAGGGACTTTACCTAACAAATGCAATCAGTAAAACCTGGTTTCTTGTACCCTCAATGAATCCCCAACAATAAATTAAAAAATAATAAAATAAAAGTATTATTTCCATAGTAATTCTAAATAAATAAATAATTACCACAGCAATAAAAATGCCAAAAACAAAACAAAACAAAAAACAGCTAAGCTCATTTCTAAGATACCTGAAAATGGAGCAGAAAAGAATTATTTTGGGGCTTGGCACCTGTAGTTTAAGTGGCTGGGGCGCCAGCCACATACACCAGAGCTGGTAGGTTTAAATCCAGCCCGGGCCCTCCAAACAATGACAACTATAACCAAAGAAATAGCAGGCACCTGTAGTTGCAGCTACTTGGGAGGCTTGGGCAAGAGGATTGCTTAAGCCCAAGAATTTGAGGTTGCTGGGCGGTGCCTGTGGCTCAGTGAGTAGGGTGCTGGCCCCATATACCGAGGGTGGAGGATTCTAACCCAAACTCAGCCAAACTGCAACAAAAAAATAGCCGGGCGTCGTGATGGGCGCCTCTAGTCCCAGCTACCCGGGAGTCTGAGGCAAGAGAATTGCCTAAGCCCAAGAGCTGGAGGTTGCTGTGGACTGTGATGCCACAGCACTCTACCAAAGGCGACACAGTGAGACTCTTGTCTCT